CACTGGACAGAGTGATGTGGCCGGTGACTGCTCATCAGAAACGTAGAGCTCCAGAACCAGGGCTACCTGCAGAAAGGTACAGGGAGCAAGACAGGACACACTATGGGAAAGAGGAGACACACAGTTAGTGACATGTAATGGTGGCATATAAATACATGGAGAGAGAGGAGAGGGATGTAAAGTTCTACTGAATCTGAATCTGTGAAAACAGTTGTATAATGTCTCATTTGGCTCTAAATGGAGCATTTTAAGGTAATAACAACATGTTCTAATATCATCATAGTGGTTGGACTGCATTACAGAAAATGTAGGATCCAGGTCTGGAGTTTGTCCTATAATGGGGAGTCAGAATAACTTCTTCTGCATCTAGTGAATCAGTCTCTAATATCCCATGGCTTCTGGAAGTGCAATGCTAAATCAGTCCAGGAATACAGTCAACACAACCAAATACAGCAACTCACTGAAACAGACTGCTTGTTAATGGTATTATAAAATTAGTATGTTTTAACATTCATCCCAGCTGACACTGGGCGAGAGGCAGGGTACACCCTGGACAGGTCACCAGTCTATCAGAGGGATGACACTTAGAGACAGACAACCACACAACACTCACACTCAATCCTACAGGCAATTTAGAGCCACCAATCAAACTAGGCTGCATGTCTTCAGACTGTGGGAGGAAGCCAGAGTACCTGAAGGGAACCCACGCAGACATAGGGAGAATATACACATTTCACACTGAAAGATCCCGGGTTGGCCGGGACTCGAACCCAGACCCTTCTTGCTGTAAGGTGACAGCACTAACCACCATACAGCCATGCCATCTTTCTTAATCCATTATTTATATATTTATCTTTGTTATTGTAGTATACAGTATGCTGATTCATGAAATAAGTCATCAAAATACTTTGCATTTGAGTTACTACCATCACAAAAGAAAAAGGATCAACTCTTAATTGGATATTTATACTTTTGATTGTCCCAAGCAATAAACCTATTGGTTTAAAATGATTAAAGTATGAGCTGACGTTGCTAAAAAAGAAGATACATACTGTACATATTTCTAAAATAAATTGGCAAGAATGATTTATGAAAAGGTGAATGATGAACGTTATCTTTCAAATATACAGTACAGTGAATACAGTATATCAGTGCAAACAAGCAGCTGAATTTACCAAAGCCATTACAAACCTTGACTGCCATTACAGGAGTTAACCACTCACAGTTGACAGCTCTATGAACCCTGAATGGATTAATGAGTGCTATTAACATTAATTATTCAACTTTATTGAACAGGATATGAGTTTTCTACTTCTCTTCCATCAGGAACCTGATTAGCTAGTGGCCTCTGAGAGAGCTCCACAGAGTTATCATAACATAATCTAGTGATCGATATCACACACTTTGGTGATAATCAAGCTAATCCCCAGTGTATGACTGAACGCTGTTAGCTCTGAGAGAAGGGGCAGGGACTGGGAATTGTATGAAGTAGAAAGAGCCATGAATGCAAAAAATGACTTCCTCTTGGTCAAAACCCAGATGTGCAACACACCAATACCTGTTAGTCTGACTGTCTCTACATACAAAGAAGTCTTGAAATTACAGACAAGCTATTTGAGAAAACTATGTTTTTCTGTGCTTAAAGATACTATTTAAGTGTAGTTTAGGAGCTCAGTGAGGCAGGGTGAATCAAAAGTTTTAAAGACTTAGATCATGGGGAACACAGAGTGCAGATGAACAAGCCTGATGAGACGTAGCTTTTCAAGTGGTTCTCCTCCAGTGTTTCATTTGAAAACCTTAGTTTTGAGCCACACTCGAGGCGGCATAGGGCCCCTGGTTGTTGTGTCAGTGTCAGCTTGAATAATCCTGCCTGTGACCTTTCAGATGCCTTAAGCTCTTTGGAGAGTCACTTCAAATAAGGATTATGACCGGGAGTAGAAGAAGAATTCAGAAACAGGAGACAGCTCTTTTTGTTTCATTGAGCAAGGAAATAGAAAACGACCACATGTTTCTGAGAAAGCTGCGAGGAAACAGAGAAAGAAGAAAAAAGAGATTAAAACACCAGAGGGCCCCTGTTTCTCTGCTCAGAATGTTGTTTATGTTGTTGACAGGCCTTTTAACCTCCCTCAGCTCATACTGTGGGGTCTCTTTGGGAGCTCACTTTAGGCTTGTAGCCCGTCGAGTCTCCATTCAGCCTGTATCCAGTCGAGCAGTTTCATTATTTATGAGTGCTGCGGCTGTTATTCTGACTCCATTGTTGAAATTGTTGATACTTCATCATGGAACAAAAATAATGAGGGGACAATAAATTTAAGTGCTGTCAACAGCCACTTGAGTGAACAACACGTCAGGTTTCTCTCCCCCAGACCCTGATGACATCAGACCCTTCTCTGCGTGTGATATGTTTTCCTTTTGGACAGGTCCTATGAACTGGGCTCAAGGCCCATTTCACACTGGATTAGTTTCCATGTGCAGCCTCAGCCCAACCCCCCAACTCCTGTATCAGAGATGAGAACTAAGGTTAAATCCTCAGAAACTGTTTTTCATCTTTTGTCATACGTCTAAAAACAAATTGACAGAAGTCTGGGGAACAAATTAAGTTGTGAAAGGCCAAAAGTGGTCTCTGATCCAGGTATTTGAAATGGATCTACAAAAAGGGATTGTAAACCGGCAGAAGATGCAATCACCAGCTAAGCCTTCATTTAAAATGCAACAATACTAATAAAGACATACAGTATAACAGACTCTCCTCATCACTGCACTGTCTCTCACATAGTACATTATATACACAAGTAAATACACATATGTACACCCACAAGCACACACCTGCTTAATTTTGTAGACAGATAACAGCACTTAACAACCTTTGTAGACTTTAAGACAGACTTCAAGTGTACAAGTGTAATAAACACAGTCGTGCATGTATAAGCTGTGAGCTCCTCATCAGCGAGTATGCTTCCAGATGTGAACACAAATCAGCCGCTATGAGCTGCCTCACTCGCCATCAAAAAGCGTATGCATATTTCTATCAGGGGTTATTGTAACAGGAAAAGAAGAAGGGGGAGGAATGCTGCCCCAACGTGTGGCACGTTGAGGTGTGTCTCAGTAACTGTTGAAACACACAAGCTTACTAGGTATAATCAGAGTAACCTAATAGCATTGTTGCAAATCTTACAATAGTTTCTCATACTCATATTCTGTTATCAGTTAGCTCTTTATATTGTTGCTGTGTCACTGTTAAGCTGGTCCCAAATAAGCATCTGGTAATAATGGTAAACCTCCAGTCACACCACATTCGTTGCACCTGACTGAGGCCAGATTTGGGAGTAAGACCACCCCTGCTCTGACCCCTTAGCTCTTATGCATCCTTCAAATTCTCTCACTTTTTTGCAATGCACAGCGACAGACCAGAAGGTGATATAAAACTGAGAAAACTTGGGCATGTGTTTCTCCCAGTGGTTGTGATTACTTGCATCTTTTAAAACAAGTTTAAGATGTAACTAAATTATGTTGATTTAGCCTAAGCATTGGTCAAACTCATTAATATTCTAGTCGAGATCAACAAGTCTCCAAATACACCAAATATGTCAGGCTGAATTTTGGGGAGATGTGTATAAAATATAAACAGGTCAGCTATGATATTCTCATTTGGTGAAATGGTGCAGCCATGAAAACATGGATTCTTGGGAAACAAAGGAAAAAAACTGCATGTTAAGGGGTTTAGTTAGACTCTAATTACTGTGCACCTGAAAACAGGACCCTTTCAGCAGTATACTGTCTAGCATGAAAGTGGCTCCTTAGACACTAGCCTGATTGTATTTTGATCAACATCAGTCTCAGGGAAGTCATAATTGTGGCAGCTCATTTCTTATTAACAGTAGTTTTGCTTTGGGCCTGTCCACGTTGCTCTCTCCAGGGACTTTGGTAACAAGCAAGAGAATCCTCTGTTAAGCCCAGGTCTCCTGCAGAGTGGCATGTGTATGACTTTGCCACAAAAACCCAAGGGGTCCTGTTGGCCAGTGTAACCCACCTGATGTTGTGGTTATTGATAAAAAAAATTAAAAAGGCAGGAGTCCGTGCCCAAATAATGAGGTAGATTATGACACGTGGCGTACCAGTGTTGAAGTCCTCATGAAAGATTCTGCCTTATCCGATTTGCACCGCACCCAGCGTATACTTGACAGTTTACTATCTCCTGCGGCTGAAGTGGTCAAGCACTTAGGGCTGCAAGCTAATTCCTCTGACTATATTGGCCTACTTGACTCTGCCTACGGAACTGTCGAGGACGGAGATGAACTTTATGCCAGGTTCATGAGCACATTGCAGAATGATGGAGAAAAGCCCTCCACCTTCTTACAGCGATTGCATGTAGCTCTGAGCACCGCTATGCGGCGGGGTGGTGTTTCCCCTAAGGACTTTGATCAGCAAATCTTAAAACAGTTCTGTCGTGGTTGCTGGGAAAGTGCACTGATAGTTGATCTACAGCTTGAACAGAGAAAAGAAAATCCACCATCATTTGCGGAATTTCTGTTGCTGTTAAGGACGGAAGAGGATAAACAGGCTGCAAAACTAAGCCGAATGAAACAACATTTGGGTGTGGTAAAGCCTTCTGGTGGGGTTACAAAACAGAGAGTGATGTCTCACCTACAGACAGCACATCATAGTGGTGATAATAATGGTACTGAATTGACAGAGCTGAGAAAACAGCTGGCAGAACTGAGTGCCCAGCTTAGCAGTATAACTGCTAAACCCCAGGAAATCCCGCTACTTAAACACAAGAAGGGAAGAGTTGTAGTTCCTAGCGCTAAAGCTGGAACCCCCACCCTGAGTAGGAGGACATCCACTCCTCAGCACAGTTGGGAAAAAACTAATGGAAAGCCTCGCCCTTGGTACTGTTTCCAATGCGGCGAAGATGGGCACATTGCCTCAAAATGCGACAATGATCCAAACCCCCTGCTTGTTGCAGCTAAGAAGAAACAGTTAAGGGAAAAGCAAGCTAAATGGGAACCCTCGCCGGCTGGCGGAGGCAAGACGCATTTAAACTGAGATCGGCCCCCATGGAGGGACGTATGGAGGCCACACCTGAGGAGTCAAGTCCCCCTCTTGAGCAGCCTGTCAAAATTAGAGCTCAATGAAAGAGACATATAGGTAAGTTTCCTAATAAACTGGTGGGAACAAAGACCACAGCCCAAGTGACCATTGTTGGAAGGAGCACTGGATGTCTTTTGGATACGGGTTCACAGGTCACAACTGTGCCTCAGTCCTTTTACTAGCAGTATTTGTCAGATCTGCCCATTCATCCATTAAATGATCTCCTTGACGTTGAAGGTGCGAATGGCCAATCAGTCCCTTACTTGGGATACATTGAACTTGGCATCACCTTCTCTGAAGACTTCGTAGGGTCTGAGATAGAGGTCCACACCTTGGCTCTGGTTATCCCTAATCTACGCATGAACAAGTGCTTATTGGCACTAACACTGTTGATGTTCTTTATAAGGACTTCCAGGCTAGTGAGGATCCTTCTTTTCAGCCAGTGACTCATGGTTATCAAGTGGTCCTTAAGATCCTGGGACTGCGACAAGACAAGGAGAGAAACAGTAACTTGGGCTGGATAAAGATGAGTGGGAGGGAACCTGAAATCATCCAACCTGGGAAAACAGTTGTGATTGAAGGGTGGGATAACACTTCTGACACTCACTGTGTAAGAGAGGCCATAATCGAACAGCCATCAGCTGCAACTCTACCTGGTGGCTTATTGGTTATGTCCAGCTTAGTCATCTTGCCAAAGAAACGGCTTAGCCAACTGCTGGTTGTGATAAAAAATGAAACAGATCATGAGATTGTCATACTGCCAAAAACTGTATTAGCAGAAGTCAATGCCGTGGTGCACGTGCTGCACAAAGAGCAAACTAAAACGGCATCGGATTGTTCGGATGGGCCGGGAGCGTGTCCGCAAAAAACCCCCCTTAGTTTTGACTTTGGGGAATCCCCCTTGCCCCCTGAATGGAAAGAGAGGATCTCCGGCATGTTGAATTCAATGTCGGATGTGTTCTCTCAAGATGCTCTTGATTTCGGTCACACAACCAAAGTCAAACACAGGATTCGACTCAACGATGAGACACCCTTTAAACAGAGACCCCGTCCCATACATCCTCATGACATGGAGGCAGTGAAAGACATCTGCAAGACCTACCTGAGGAGTCAAGTCCCCCTCTTGAGCAGCCTGTCAAAATTAGAGCTCAACGGAAGAGACATATAGGTAAGTTTCCTAATAAACTGGTGGGAACAAAGACCACAGCCCAAGTGACCATTGTTGGAAGGAGCACTGGATGTCTTTTGGATACGGGTTCACAGGTCACAACTGTGCCTCAGTCCTTTTACGAGCAGTATTTGTCAGATCTGCCTATTCATCCATTAAATGATCTCCTTGACGTTGAAGGTGCGAATGGCCAATCAGTCCCTTATTTGGGATACATTGAACTTGGCATCACCTTCTCTGAAGACTTCGTAGGGGCTGAGGTGGAGGTCTACACCTTGGCTCTGGTTATCCCTCACCTCCGGACCGCTACGCATGAACAAGTGCTTATTGGCACTAACACTCTTGATGTTCTGTATAAGGACTTCCAGACTAGTGAGGATCCTTCTTTTCAGCCAGCGACGCATGGTTATCGAGCGGTCCTTAAGATCCTGGGCCTGCGACAAGACAAGGAGAGAGACAGTCATTTGGGCTGGATAAAGGTGAGCGGGAGGGAACCGGAAATCATCCCACCTGGGAAAACAGTTGTGATTGAAGGGTTGGCTAACATTTCTGACACTCACTGTGTGAGAGAGGCCTTGATCGAACAGCCATTAGCTACAACCCTACCTGGTGGCTTATTGGTTATGTCCAGCTTAGTCAGCTTGCCAAAAAAACGATTTAGCCAACTGCCGGTTGTGATAAAAAATGAAACTGATCGTGAGATCGTCATACCGCCAAACACTGTATTAGCGGAAGCCAATGCCGTGGAGCACGTGCTGCACAAAGAGCAAACTAAAACGGCACCGGATTGTTCGGATGGGCCGGGAGCGTGTCCGCAAAAAACCCCCCTTAGTTTTGACTTTGGGGAATCCCCCTTGCCCCCTGAATGGAAAGAGAGGATCTCCGGCATGTTGAATTCAATGTCGGATGTGTTCTCTCAAGATGCTCTTGATTTCGGTCACACAACCAAAGTCAAACACAGGATTCGACTCAACGATGAGACACCCTTTAAACAGAGACCCCGTCCCATACATCCTCATGACATGGAGGCAGTGAGAAGACATCTGCAAGACCTTCTTGACTCTGGTATCATCAGAGAGTCCGAATCACCTTTCGCTTCTCCCATTGTGGTTGTTAGGAAAAAGGATGGTTCTGTTCGTCTTTGTGTGGATTTTCGGAAGTTAAATCTACAAACGATTAAAGACGCCTATGCCCTCCCAAAGCTAGAGGAAACATTTTCTGCCCTTGCTGGCTCAAAATGGTTTTCTGTGCTGGACCTCAAGTCTGGGTATTACCAGATTGAGATGGATGAGTCGGACAAGCACAAAACTGCATTTGTGTGTCCGCTGGGGTTCTGGGAATTCAATCGGATGCCACAAGGTATTACAAATGCCCCATCAACGTTCCAACGACTAATGGAGAAGTGTGTAGGAGAGATGAATCTGAGAGAAGTCTTAGTGTTCATTGATGATTTGATCGTCTTCGCATCTTCCCTTGAAGAGCACGAACAACGCCTTAAGGGGGTGCTACAAAGACTGAGAGACTATGGGCTGAAACTGGCACCAGAAAAATGTAAGTTTTTCCAGACCTCGGTGAAATATCTTGGTCATGTAGTGTCCGAAAGGGGGGTGGAAACAGATGCAGAGAAAGTGGAGGCCCTAAAAACGTGGCCCACTCCTACCAACTTGAAGGAACTTCAGTCTTTTTTAGGCTTTGCGGGGTATTACCGCCGATTTATTCAAGGGTATTCCAGCATTGTCAGGCCTCTCACTGTGCTAACCGCTGGATACCCACCCATCCGGAAAAGAGGCAAAAAAATTAAAAGAGATGCACACTCAGAGTATTACCACCCTAGGGATCCTTTCGGTCAGCGATGGACATCCCAATGTCAGGAAGCATTTGACCTGATCATTCAAAAGTTGACCTCAGCTCCAGTTTTGGGGTTTGCAGACCCTCAGCTTCCCTACATTTTACACACCGATGCCAGTACTAGTGGACTGGGGGCTGCTCTGTACCAGATCCAGGATGGTCAACCTAGAGCTTTAGCCTTTGCTAGTCGTAGTCTCACGAGGAGCGAAAAGAACTATCCTGCCCATAAGTTAGAGTTCTTGGCTCTGAAATGGGCAGTGACAGAGAAGTTCTCCGACTACCTGTATGGTGCAACCTTTACAGTGGTAACCGATAGTAATCCACTAACTTACCTGTTGACAACGGCAAAACTTGATGCCACAGGTTACCGGTGGTTGTCTAGTCTCTCCACGTTTTCTTTTCGCATCCAGTATAGAGCTGGCAAACAAAACTTGGACGCTGATGCTCTGTCCCGTCGTCCGAATGGTCCACCTAGGGATGATCATGCGTCACTAAAAGAGAGAGAGAGGATTAAGCAGTTCGCTTTGTATCATCTCAGTGAGGATGATACCTCTAACACCATACCGCAGAGCGTAGTCCAAGCTATTTGTGATAGGCACCTTGTCACTGTGGTTGAGAATGAAAATGTTCGTGGTTCTGGCCTTGGGCTGCCGCTGGTAGAATCTCTGGCTCATCAATCCACAGCCATTCCAGATTCCCTTGAAGAAGAGCTGATGGATGGGTTTCCTCTCATTGTCCCATTTTCTAAAGAGGAACTCAGGCAACAACAAAGAATAGACCCCGCAATCAGTCAAGTGATTGTCCAATTGGAGACTAATCAGAGTCCACCTCCTAGTCTCAAGGCAGAATTTCCTGAACTTCCATTGCTTCTCCGTGAGCTTAACCGCTTAGAGTTGCAAGATGGTGTGCTTTATCGAAGGCGACAGAATAGAGCCAACATCACCTTCCAATTAGTGCTCCCTGAGGAGCTGCGAGCCATGGCATTTCAGAGCTTGCATAATGACATGGGCCACATGGGAGTAGAACGAACAGTGGAACTGGCAAGAACCAGATTCTTCTGGCCAAAAATGCAGGCATCCATGGAAAAAATGATCAAGTGTTGTGAGCAGTGTGTTTGTCGGAAAACCCCTCCTGAGAGGGCCGCTCCCTTGGTGAACATTAAGACATGTAGACCCTTAGAAATGGTCTGAATGGACTTCCTGTCTTTGGAACCTGATCGCTCCAATATTAAAGACATCCTGGTCATTACTGACCACTTCACGAAGTATGCGATGGCTATACCAACCCCCAACCAGAGGGCACATACTGTCGCGAAGTGTCTGTGGGAAAATTTTATTGTGCATTATGGGTTCCCTGAGAGACTGCACAGTGATCAGGGCCCTGACTTTGAATCGACCACCATAAAGGAGCTTTGTGAAATCGCTGGCATAAAGAAAGTGTGCACTACTCCGTACCATCCCAGGGGAAACCCAGTTGAGAGGTTTAT